CTCTGAGCCAAGAAACACCCTTTTTTAAGTTAAATTCTCAGCGAATTTATTCGACTCGAAATGATATTGTCCACGAATTCGACGAATCAGTCGAATCGAATTTTTCATTCTCTTCGCTCATCTCTACCTGTGATCTCTGGTATCATACAGGACCAAATAGACAATTCATCAGAGGAAGGAGGGATTGAAAGAGGGAGAGAGAGATACAAGATGGAGGATCATTAGCAGGATGGAGTGATCACGTCAATCTCTGTGTGCACAGTTGCTACAGTTTGTCCCTTTTTTTCATCCTTGGCTACATGTCAGTGCTGCTGGTTTCCTCAAACCTCTTTGCAGCCACTTCCAGTCTACATCCACCCCCAGCAATGGCTGTGTGGCCATTTTCTCATGTGGTGATGATATAGATCATGGGGTCTCCAAAACTTTCAAAACAAAGGGCCAGTTTTACTGCCTTCCAGTCTTTATGGAGGTCCGGACTATGGCCAGTGGAGAGTAGAAAATGCCCTGGGATTGGTAGGAAGTAAACCATGCCATAGGCTTGTTGGTCAGTGAAGTAAAAAAATTTACATCATTGGTGTCAGTGGGAGAATAGTGCCCCATCATTGGTGTCAGTGAGTGGAATAGTGCCCCCATCATTGATGTCAGTGAGTGGAATAGTGCCCCCATCATTGGTGTCAGTGGGAGAATAGTGTCCCATCATTGGTGTCAGTGGGAGGAATAGTGCCCCATCAATGGTGTCAGTGAGTGGAATAAGTGCCCCATCATTGGTGTCAGGTGCGGAGGAATGTTCCCATACTCATTGTGTCATGGGAGGAATAGTGCCCCATCATTGGTGTCAGTGGGAGGAATAGTGCCACCATTCATTGGTGTCAGTGAGTGGAATAGTGCCCCCTATCATTGATAGTCAGTGAGTGGAATAGTGCCCCATCATTGGCTTGTCAGTGGGAGGAATAGTGTCCCATCATTGGTGTCAGTGGGAGAGGAATAGTGCCCATCATTGGTTGTCAGTGAGTAGGAATAGTGCCCCATCATTGGTGTCAGTGGGAGAATAGTGCCCCATCATTGGTGTCAGTGGGAAGGAATAGTGCCCCATCATTGGTATCAGTGGGGAGGAATAGTGCTCCATCATTGGTGTCAGTGGTAGAGAATAGTGCCACATCACTGATGTCAGTGGAGGAATAGTGCCCCCATCATTGGTATCAGTGGGAGGAATAGTTGCCCCATCATTGGTGTCAGTGGGATGAATAGTGCCCCATCATTGGTAATCAGTGGGAGGAATAGTGCCCCATCATTGGTGTCAGTGGGAGCCCCATCATTGCTGTCAGTGGGAGGAATAGTGCTCCATCATTGGTGTCAGTGGGAGGAATAGTGCCCCATCATTGGTGTCAGTTGGGAGGAATAGTGCCCCATCATTGGTGTCAGTGGGAGGAATAGTGCCCCATCATTGGTGTCAGTGGGAGGAATAGTGCCCCATCATTGGTGTCAGTGGGAGGAATAGTGCCCCATCATTGGTGTCAGTGGGAGGAATAGTGCCCCATCATTGGTGTCAGTGGGAGGAATAGTGCCCCATCATTGGTGTCAGTGGGAGGAATAGTGCCCCATCATTGGTGTCAGTGGGAGGAATAGTGCCCCATCATTGGTGTCAGTGGGAGGAATAGTGCCCCATGGGCCAGATAAAGGCGAGAAAAGGGCCACAGTTTGGAGACCCCAATATAGATCATGCCTGTGTAATGTTTCTGGGAAAAGCCACTTGAAGCCTCCCTCAGAAACCCATGTGACAGGGTGACAACACAGGATCAGAATTGGCATACAGGGACAGAGCGTTGTCACCCTATAACAGGAAGTTTGGTGTGGCCTGGTGTACATACGATAGAAATGAATTCCCCGACCATTTTGTTAAGTGTGAGTGGCTGCTGATCCATGGGGATACCATTAGGAAGTAATAGAACCCCATGCATCTCCGTCTGTGTGAGTGTTGGGAAAGCTTTGGATTTTGCGCTCTTACAGTCCTGCTTACATGCAGTCTTTGCATTGCTTCAAGAATTATACCCCATGCCACTTTTTTGGTGCTTTAAAGTGTCTCCCAAACCTCCATAGGAGTCTATGACAAAGCTTGCTAACAGCACCTGAAGCTTTTGAGAGGCTTTTATTCAGCTTTAACTTCATTTTGTTTTGTAAGTATTGCAGGTATGAGATGTCCCAGGATGCACTGGGAAACCAACAACCGAACCAAAAAAAAAAAACTTCATCAGAAGTCACTTCCAGTTCATGTGTATACAGTATATTCTGGGGGTGTCTGGTGCAGATATCACAGCTGGTGTGCAGCGTGGAGCATTAGGAAGGTGAGCGGGGTCTGGACTGGAGAGGTGCAACAACAGGAGTACATGTGTGCAACATGGGAAAGGTAGAGCAGAAGGTGACAACAATAAAGCAAAAACAAGCCACCAAAAATGACACGGATTACAGGTGTCATTAACATATCTCCGACTCACTTGTATAAGTGTGGATACAAAAACCCAAAAGCTACATACTGAACAATATGGTAGTGTGACAAGAGCACCCCTACCTGAAAAAGAAGGTTACTAAATGATCCACGCGGAGTAATATGAATTCAAAGGAATTTTAACAATACTTTATTTGATCACATAGATCATGAGGAGGTTAAACAGAAGCACGGTGTACATATGAAAAAAATAAAATCATGTTAAAAAACACTTAGCGTCCTCAATTTAGGGTAATCTTAGCAAATAGAGCACCATATAAGGCAGAGTTGTGAAATAATAAAGTAGTTATCCTGGATTTCCGTGGGTTTCCTGCTTATATTCGGATGAACCATGTGTTCAGCAGATGTGTTCCCAATATATGTCAGGGACCTCCTGGAATGTAAAAGCTGGAAACACAAAAATACATGGTGTATGTATAGGAATCTGATAACCAATTAACATCAAAGAATTCACCAGGCCTCTCTCCACATTAGTCAATGGATACTACTATTACCTTCTCAAAAGTGAGACAATCATGCCCACTTCTCAAGTGTAGGGACTTCCTGGATAGCCACCCCAAGTGAAACAAGGTCCACAGTACCAAATGATTCTGAGGATATGTATAGAAAAAGTAAAAATAATGAATATAAAGATCATAGGCATCAGATGACCCCGAAAACAAAACACACGCAAATTGTGGATATATTACCATCAATGATGATCAAGAAGACTCCTGTCAACTTGAAATAAGATCAGGTTCTTGATGCTTTTTCAAAGATGCATATGGGGGTGATAAGCCAGGTAGTCACAATATATGGGTTCCAAACACATAGAATGTGTATATAGCATATAACAGGCCGTAGGTACCTGAATTTAATATACCCAGTGAAGGGTTTCCAAAAATTGCTCAATTAGAGAAGGTTATTGCGGTTTTATAAGGATGTGGCTATGTCACAGCAAAAAATGCCTGAATAGGATAGCGTATATATATATATATATATATATGTAAATTATCCCCCAAAGAGGATTTCAAAAAATTCCCCGAGTTATACAGGGTAAATTAGGCCCATGAAACATGCCCCATTTAACACCATATAGGCTCTATGAATCTCAACAGCCGTAAGCTTTAAATAACTTGCCACCGGTGGAAGATAAATTTCCCTGAGGGATTGCCGTTTGCGAACCGCTGTGATAGTAGCCCAGTGGTAGTTCTCAGAGGGTCTGGGGCCTTCTGGAAAGGTGGAAAGATGTCTGTATAAAACATGGCATAGAGATTATGCGATTAATTGTGGAAGAAGAGAAGGTTCAACTGAACGAACTCTCTAATGAAATCAATGAGAGTACGAAATCACTTGATCCTTTGAAAAATGATCCTGAGTTTGATAAACATAATGACTTCCTTAGAAAGGAGATAGAGAAAATACAAAAAAATCTGAAATTTACGAAACAACAAAAATTTAGAAGAGATTTAGAGGACTGGGAGAAAGGTGAGATATTCGATCTAACAAATAGTAGAGGAAGGAGTCGATCAAAACGTAAAAAACATTTTTCTAGGAATAATAGAGGATATTCATCAATGAGTGAGGATGATGATGAAAGTAATAAGAGATCTGTCAGTTTTTTAGAGGAAAAAATAGATGGCGAGAACCATGGGATACTAAAAACAAACAAACAAACAAATGAATGGGACAAAGGAAGAAAGAAGCACCTCAGCTGCCCTAAAACCATCCAACCAAAATCGAACCAGAAGCCACAAGAGATAAAGACTAACCAAGAGGGGGGAACGAGTGATCTTAAGGTAATAAATCTTTCGAATTTTGTGTATTGAAAAAAAGACATTATGATTTACTGCGGAAAGGTTTAACCTTTTCTCCTACGGATAAAATGGACCTGTTTGAAGTCTATAAAGACCTAAATCTATTTTTGAGAAAGATCCTTTTAAGGATTCCATATGTATCTAGAGAAGAACAAAATCCCGGTGACCTTAATTCAGAGAGGGAACAACAGGCACTAAGAGACCTCATTAGTCTTATTGAGGAGACTCCCACAGACAGTGAAATTGGGGAAGGGGATGTTTCTAATAAGTGGAAAAGACACACTAGACTTAAAACTCCTTCTAGAAGAATGCCTAATATCAGGGAAAATAAATGGTTAAGTACTTTCTTAGATCTGGTACATGATGATCTTGGTAAAATAGACTGGACAATGAGGAACGCTGATAACCTCACTAGAGGTGAAAGAATAGCCCTTAGGGAACTTAAGAATGCAAAAAACATTGTGATTAAAAAGAGTGACAAAAGGGGGTAATGTAGTACTACTAGAGAGTGTGGAATATGAGAAGGAGGTGCTTCGACAGTTGAAGAGTCCGGATACATATCGTAAATTACATAATAATCCGTTCCCAAAAATTGTGATTGATCTAAATAAAAAAGTGGGACTGGCTTGTGAAGCAAACTTATTAACCAAACGGGAATGTGATATGTTGACAGTTGATACATATAATATTCCCACCCTTTATGTAATTCCAAAAATACATAAAAATCCCTCTCAACCACCGGGACGCCCCATAGTATCTGCTATTGGTGGCCCCCTAGAACCAATAGGTAAATTTGTAGACGACCTAATCAAGGACCTGGTTTTGGAACTTAGATCCTATGTAAGGGACACTGGAGATGTACTTAAAAAGATTCTAAATGTAAAAGTACCAAAAGGTGCACTCCTGGTGGGTATTGATGTGGAATCACTGTATACCTCCATCCCACACACATGGGGACAGAAAGCGGTGGCCCATTTTTTGGAGACATACTTTCCCGAAATGGAGGCTCAAAATGAATTTATATTGGACTTGCTGGAATTTATGTTGACCCATAACTGTTTTCAGTTCTTGGGATCCTTCTATCAGCAAATATGTGGCACCTCCATGGGAGCACCCTGGGCTCCGGCATTTGCGTGTTTACATCTAGGTTTGTGGGAGGAGGAGTTAGTGTATCCCTCCACTCCCTATAAACAATACGCAGTAACTTGGTTGCGATATATTGATGATGTGCTGATGGTCTGGGATGGAGGTATCGATGAGCTCAAAAGATTTATGGAATTCTTGAATAAGAATGATAGAAATATCAAACTCACTTATACAGTGGATAGAGAGGTGATAACCTTTTTGGATTTGTCAATCTCTGTCCACGGAAACGAACTGGTTACTAAAACATTTAGAAAGGAAACAGCGGCCAATACACTTTTACATGCTAATAGCTATCACCCAAGGAGTTTAAAACAGGGAATCCCCATTGGTCAGTTTCAGAG